CACTGGAGCTGAGTCCCAGGCCCAATTCTGCCTGTTCTCCTGATCCCCAAATCTGGCCGAGGACAGTCTATACTCAGCCCCGATAGCCTTCAGCACAGTGGCATGTGGCCCTAGGGTAAGAGTCATTCAGTGGACCCCTCAGTTCCGTGGAAAACAAAACCCTCCAGGGTTGGGCTGGTAGGAGTCAGGGACTGGAAACTGCCCCCAGAAGGGCGGGGCTGTGATGACAGCAGGCAGGATTTGGGGGGCTGGAGGACCAGGGTAGGTGCAGGCACATGGGGAGACTGGCTGGGCTGAGGGGTGGGGGGAGTTTGGGGAGCACTGGATGGGGTGAGCATGGATCCCCTGAGCCAGGGGCCTGTGGGACTGCAGCAGCCTCACACCTATGAGGCTGTCCGTGCCAGGACGTGGCACCATTCTCCTCCCATCACAAAGCAAGAGAACAGGGCAGGGGGGTTGTTTGGTACCCAAAGACAGGCAGGTGAGAGGGGACAGAGCAGGACTTGGAACCCAGGCCCACCTCAAACCAGCACCCACAACAGCCCCTGGAAAGCTCTGGTCATTCCAGCTTGAGTCTGGAGGCCAGGGAGGTGCAGACGTAGCACAAACCCACCAGCTGGGCACCCAGCCCTCACCTCCACCAGGCAGGGCTCCAGGCTTTCCCGAATGAAGCGGGGGAGCGTATCCCTCGACAGACCCCGGCCACCTCCTCATGGTCTTACTCTCCCCCACCCATCGCATCTGTTCAGCCCCAACAAGGGGCTCAGAGGTCCTGGCCTGCACCAGCAGGAGGACACCAGGCTGCACACACCCAGGGGACTTGAGATGGATGGGAACCAGATAAGAGGGCCCTAGAGACTCACCCAGAGATGCCCCGCCCTCCTGCCTCCCCCAGGCAACCTTGGGCAGCACACACAGTCCCGTCAGGGCCAGCCCTGGGGGCAGCTTTACTCCTGCCCAGAGAGGCACAGAACCCAGCAGGTACCCACCCTCCCTGCCCAGTGCCCAGGGACACCAGGCCTTGGACACAGCAGGTGTTCGGCCCCATCCCAGGGTCCCTGGGGATGGCCTCGTTCAGTCCTCTTGCCCTTGCCCCTGTCTGTCTTCATCCCAGGGGTGGGGTTGTGACCTTCCCAAGGCTCTGCACCTGGGTCATACCTGTCCAGCAGGCTTCTTGGAAAGTGTCCACACCCATGGTGAGCTCAGGGCCCATCCTGGGTCTCTTCACTTCTGGTCACAGCCCCCTACCCCCAGCAGGAGCACCTCCCAGAGAGCGGGGACCTGGTCCCCACACCCGTGTCGTCTCCTAGGCCAGAGTCACGCACAGGGTGTCCTGGCTCCTATGGGCCTTGGCAGTAGGGGTCGTGGCCAGTGCGGATGCGTCCTGGAACTCCTTGGTCATGTAGTAGTAGCAGATGGCATCCAGGCAGCAGTTGGCATCTGAGACCCGGCTAGTGACAGAGAGGGCGTCCTGGATGGCACAGGTTTTCAGGCCCGTGGCCAGACGCCAGGTCAGTACCACGTGCAAGGGCAGGAAGCAGGCCACGAACACGGCCAGGTTTGCCCAGACCATGCGGGCAGCCTTTCGGGTGGCCTCCGCCTGGACCGCGTCGGTAGCCGGCCTCTGGCCCAAGGCGGTCACCACCTGCAGGGAGCAGAAGACCAGCACGGCCAGTGGCAGGTAGAAGCCCAGCAGGGAGAAGACCACAGTCTGGGGGTTCTGCCGGGAGGGGTTCTGGAAGCAGAAGCCACCCTCCTGATCCTTCAGGGCCCAGCGAAGCACCAGGGAGCTGACCACCAGCACCCAGAGTACCACACACACGGCCCCAGCCTGCAGCGGGGAGCGGAGCGCGCGGCCACACAGCGGGTGCCTCACGGCCACATAGCGGTCCACGGCGATGGCCATGACCAGGCTGATGCTCATGTACCTGTTGGCCAGGTAGATGCCCTGGGAAAGCTGGCAGAGCACCGTGTCAGTGGGGCTGTCCTGGTTCAGCGAGGTGAGCATGAAGGGCAGGGTGCAGAGCAGGCAGAGGTCGGCCACGGCCAGGTTGACCATGTAGATGTGGGTCTCCGTCCACCGGCGCAGGCGGCAGCAGAACACCCAGAGCGCCAGGCCGTTGAGCAGCAGGCCCAGCACCAGCAGCAGGCCCAGGTAGGCGTGGCAGATGTGCGTGACCAGGGGGGACTGGCTGAAGAGGCAGGTGGTGTTGTTCATGGTCCTGAGGCTGCAGGAGAGGGGCAGGGGTGAGGAGGGCAGGTGGGGCATGGGGCTCAGGGAGCGGCAAGGCCTCGCCCACCTCTGGCCAGGGATACAGGAGGTGAGCCCCCACCCCACATCCAGGAGCCCAAAGCTGGCCTTCCCAAAGAAGTCACAGAAACCATAGGAGCCCTGAGGGCTCTCAGGCCAGACCCCTGCCCACCGGAAGGGTGGGGAAAACCAAGGCCTTTGGGGCTGGGCAGGCCTAGCCCTACCCTGTGAGCCAGCCTGGGCCTGGAGTCAGACCCTCGCCCTCTCCAGAGCCCTCCTGTCCTGGGCCCCGCCTGCTGCTAGGCAGAGAGGAAGGCAGGAGGAGCCCACTGTCCATCTCCAGTCCTGCCGATTCAGCCCTTAGGACAGGGAGCCTGTAAAGGGAACTCCAAGGCAGGCCCAGGACAAAGGCTGGGCGGCCTTCTGCACCCCCACCCCTGCCGCCCTTTTTCCAGACCTGGCTGCAGGAGGTACCCACATTTGACCCACACCTGCACCTCACAGGGTGGTCAGCATGTACCTCACCTGGCCACTCCTGGCAGCCGAGTTCCAGGACAGCAGGGGTTGTGGCTCAGGACAGCTCCCCAGAAAACTCTAGAACTGTGGTCTCCCCCCT